TGCATTTAGTTCTGGATCCAGTAGAACTAATTTTAGGATTACACTCTCTGGAGAAATTTAAAACTTCCTCTTCCCCTAAAGACCTATATTTACAGATTTTTATTATTTTTTTTACTATAATTGCATTGGGTTTTTTTCCTCCAGAAACTATCTGGGTCACTAGTGAGACTTCTTGGAACTCCCACCGTTAATCACAGAACATTCAGATTGGGAAAACTTACAGAACTGGAGAATTCTTCAGATGCTGAGGTGAATCATTATGCAATTTCATTCAACATTATTATTATTCATCTTCCTTTGCAACTTGATGGAATAATTGAATAAATGAGAGAATAGAACAGCTGTGAGTGACAGATGATGGAATTAAGTGCTTGGAATCAGACGCATGCATCTTTTAGGCAAGAACTTATTAATTTATGGCAAGAAGAATTCTGATGAATTTCCATTCAAAGCAACCGGTGTTGCAGAAAAAAAACCCTTTCAGCAGTGACCAAAAAGAATCATTGTATTGATCATCTGTTTGCTCACTGTTTCCTCCTTACCTTGCCAGTGGTTTTGAGCGGATTCTCAGTTTCAAAAGTAGAGAATTTAGCCAAATGAGTATATAACAAAAACGTTTATTTTGAATGTACTTTCCAAGGCTCATTGCTAGTGAAATAGTTTTCAAAACACAATAGCAAAATTGCCTTTGGATTCTTGTTTGTTTCTTTTGGGTGTTTGAAAGTTTGATGGATTCTTGTTTGTTGTACAACCCTGTTAATATTGATTTATTCAGTAATTCATAGTTAAACAAACCATGGATTAATGTGATGCATGAGCCCAGTCATTGCGTAAACTTCCTTTGTCTCCTATGATACTATGGGCTGCATGCTAACGACGACTAACAAATGGGTAATTTAATTCTAATTAAAGTCTACAAGAAGCCATTAATTTATTCCTGTTTTTTTTTCCCCTTGCATGATTGTCACAATTCCTGTAATACAAGAAAAGTGAAGGCAATTATGCTTGGCTGTCTTCAAAGAGTAAAGAAGAAGATAGGCTGCATTTAGGAAACAAAGCTATGTGCGTAGGTAGGCTGCTGCTAGCTTATTTATCTGTAGTATTTATTACCAGCCAAAGGATTCTGGGCATTGTATAAAAAAGTAAGTGTATTTCATGCTTTCAGATCCCAGTTCTGACTTCAATCCTTGATATTTTAGTAGGAAGGGGACTGTTTTGTATTTGAGGATTTGTTTACTTTATCTGTCCAGGAGCAAACTAATGAAGTGGGTTACGGTTAACCCCATGATCAGGGACTCCCAGTTTGGGGGCTGGTGACACCATTGGGAATTTTGAAATTGCATCATGGCGGTGTTACCCAATAGCTGCCACGGTTCTCAAAAGCAAAAATGCAAAGTAGGGAAGATTCTCACCCACACCGTAGAATACTCCATACAGCCTCCCAGCTTGCTTTTCCTGTAGTTCTCAGCAAATAGGCATATTTCCAAACAAAGCAGCCAATTATTTTTATTTTATAGGAATGTTATGGTCCCCAGAGGCATGTTTTGAAATACGGATGATGCTAGAAGCTGGTGCTTTCCTTTGCAACATCCCCATTTCTTACTTAATGTTGTTTACAATTATTTTTTAATTAAACGTCCTGTAGAGCGCAGAGCCTGGCGGGTGCAAACGGAATTGTCTGCAGACACATGGGTGCTCATAAGCCCTGCCGTGGGGACGTTAGCAGTAAGCTTTATGACAGAGAAAGACTTTGAACAAATGTCACCTTGCTCTGGGCCTGTGCTCTATATCATATTGACTATCAACTGGGAATGGCGAGATTTATGGTCATAAAGAGCAAATAGAACATATAAGGAGGTCTCCGTTTGATCCATTGCAATGCAGTAATGGGATAATTTATGGGATGGGCAGGAATGTCTGCAGGGGAAAGGTCTATGGATGCTGCTCCAAAGTCAAGATGCTGTTAAGCGATTGGCTAAGGATTAATATATTTAAATAGCGCCATCAGCATGTACAATATTTCACAGATGATGAGGATAAATTAGAGGCATCCTTGTGGAGGATTAAAAAAAAGTCAAGCTGGCAGTGATAGCTGCATGTTCCTCACCCTTTTATACCTCTTGACTCTTCAAATCTGCATGAAGCTCACATAATTCAGGCATTTTTGACATTTCAGTAGTCATAAATGCTACTTGACAAATCCCAGGATCTCTTTTGGGCCAGGAATTTCCCATGGATTGATTTATAGAAGTGCCTGTTTGTGTTGTAGAGTCCAGTGCAACAGAGGCAGAAGTTTTTCAGGATAATTTTTTTTTTTAAAGGGGCAAATGAAAAGCTGTGTTGATGTTACACCTTGTCTGAAGCAATTATGGGTTGTGGGCTTTATACTTGAACTGTGGCATTTGAGGGAGGAAGTGGAAGAGCAGCTGTTGGTGAAGCAGCTTCTCTGAAGAAGGAGCTATGGAGAAGATAAAATCTTTCTTGCCAGAATGTTTTATTGCAATGCCAGCAGTAATTCAGAAGAGCTCATCACGGCCTATAAAATGTTGAAAGTCTTGTTAGGCCCTGAAGAATATCTGTCGAGACACATAGTGGGTCATGAATTTCATTCTGTGGATGTTTTAAACTCCTCTATTTTATGTCTAGAATCAGAGTTAGAAGCGTGTACGGGAAAAATTCAAAATGTTGTATGTTTTAAATTCAGAGCTGATACCTTTCCAAAAGCATTAGTAAATGCACTGGTTGTGAGTGGCGGCCTGCAAGCATCACAGCTGGCCAGCTGCCAAGCCAGATAGGGTGACCTAGAATCCACATCTTCATGGTACACACACACACACACACACACACGCATGATTAATCCCATTTCCCAGACCTTGAAAGCAAAGCTTGGACTTTCCAGGAAAAAGAGAAGTCCAGGAAAATTGAAGAGATGCTTCAGATGCTTCTAATCATTTCTGCTTAGAACCTTTTGTGATTTGGAATGGTAATTTGAAGTCCTGCTCTAATCTCTTTACAGTGGTGTTTTTCAAACTTGGCAACTTTAAGATGGGTGGGCTTCGACTCCCAGATTTCCCCAGCTAGCATGTCGATGTCCACCCATCTTAAAGTTGCCAAGTTTGAAAAACGTTTCTTTATAGCAGGTTCTTTTTTATTTGTTGCAGACTCATATCATGCCCGTAGTGTTGTATTTTCTTTTGCAATCACCTTTTGAAACTGCAGTTTTGATTTGAACAGCTTTGTACGTACTTCCCTGTATAGGGAAAGCTGGCATTTTAATATCTCAAGCTAAGAAGAGTGACTACAGGTTTTTAAAGTTTTAATAAAGTTTGATTTTGCTTATCTTCTATGAGTTTGGCCTAGCTCCCAAGGAAGGGCTAAAACCCATAGACACATGTCTCAACGCTATCTATGTCAGGAAATGGCACTGTAGAAATGTCATTATATTATTTTTACCTTTTAATGACCAGAAAGTTAGCACAGGAGGTGAGAGCCCGCTCTTTCACGCATGCTGAGGTTAAAGGGGAACATTGGTGGCAGCAGCAGAAATAATGAAGTCACTGCTGAGAAGTAGGAATCAGAACCAGATCCAGAGGACTTCTTGGAGAAGAGTTTTGAGACCTCTAGCCTTGTACCATACAAGTTTACTTGCTGATTCTGTTACACAATAAATCCATATTTTGTCATATTGGCACAATGTCGCTTTTTAATTTTTTGGTATTTCCTAGTACTGTTGCATAAAAGCAAGAAGAAACTCATAGAGATAAACAACATCTACACACTATTTAAAAGAGACAATAAAAAGGAAACAAACGACCAGAACATCTCCTCACCAGCAATCATCACCCACATAAGCAGAGATTAGCACCAAGATTAACACCAGACAATCAAGCAGTAAACAATATCCTAATCAAGGAACTATCAAGAAGAAAAAAAACCCACCCCCACCAACACTGGCAGGGCAAGCCACTGTATATAAACAGAGAGCAAACCCCACTCCCTTCTAGCACTGAAGATGTTACCTAGCTGGGTAATGAAACGTCTGCAAGAAAACAACCAGGCTCAGAAAACCCCAAAGACTCCACAGTTCAACCCTGAGCTACAGATGTTCTTTTCTATTGGAAACTCACAGTTCCTGAGCAAAGTCTGGTCCGGAAGCAGGCTGATGATGTTGAATCTGTCAGCCACCTTCCCCTTTTAAAATGGACTGCATGAATGCTAGGAAAATGGGAAAACTCTCATCCTTTAATTAACCCAGTTGCACAGGCGTGTTGGAAAATAACATTTCATGACACCGATGATATCAAGTGGGTACTGTTGAGGGGCTGTGCAATTGCCTTACTGCAATTTGATGGCAATGGCTAACTAGTAGAGTTGCAAATCCAATATAAGCAGATTTGCTCATACACCTTAGGAAAACAGAAGGTGTCCTTAGACAGCAGCAGAAGAAGGCATCGAACAAAAACAACTGTGGGGCCATTACTCAAAACCAAACAAGTGAAAAGATCTGAACTGTGCCCACCCTAATTCTCTCATTTTGTTCTGAGATGGTTTTAATTTTTGAATCTGGGTTGATGATTAGAGAGTTCTTTTGAATTGATACCTGTCTTCACACTAGGTATCTCAGTTGAAGCAAATTTCATTCTGCTGATTGGAAAGAAGAGGATGAAGCTTGCGTGTTTTGAGGGGTTAGGGAGGTATTCTTCTATTGTACTAATACTGTATATACATACGTATTTAGAATAGAATAGAATAGAATAGAATAGAATAGAATAGAATAGAATAGAATAGAATAGAATAGAATAGAATAGAATAGAATAGAAATCTTCTACACCCAAACTGCAAGAAAGTTGAGCTCTTAGCAAGGAACTAACGCTAGGTCTTCCTCAAATTTCCTTTTGCAAGTTCCTCTGTGAGGACATTGTCATGTCTCAGATCTTTTCTATGGTTTTAGAAGACAACAGAGCAAAACAGAAGACGAGAACCGAAAGAAGACCAAAAAAGACCCCCAAACCAATGCCGAATTCTTGGCTGTCTCAAGAACAAAGTCGCATTAAGGTTGTGGATGCCTTGAAGGAAACCCTCCAGAAAAGGTAAGTAAGTACATCCTTGGTATACAGGATGGGGACAAATTAATTTTTAATTATCATTATTTATCAGATTTAAATCCCATGCGATAGTATAAATAGCTTCCCTTCCTCATGAAGATGCTTTTTGAGGTAGGTTAAGTGAAAGAGGACCGCCAACATTCATCCAGTGTGCTTTAGGAGTGAGTTGGAGTTTGAGCTGGCCTGGATTGATATAACTCTGAAGCAAACATTCTTCCTTGGTGTTTTCAGGTATCTTTAGGTAATGCATTTACCTGAAAAGTCTTAAGAGAACAGCATTCTAAGTGGCCTGTTAGCTAATTTGTGGGTGGAAGTGAAAAGAACAGGTGTTATTTTGTGTGAGCGATGCTGGTTAGACCAGCTTATCCCCTGCCTGCTGTATTTCAGACTGAATGATTCTCCTGACTTGGATGTGGAGAAAAAGACAGCATCAAAAATAGCAAAGAAAGTGGAGAAGGAGATATTCAAACGCTTTGGCCGTGTGGACCGGCTTTACAAAACCAAGTATCGCACCCTGCTCTTCAACCTGAAATCAACGGACAACCAGGTCAGAAATGCAACCTAAGTTGCCTCGTAATTCATTTCAAAATGTTAAAGGGAATCTTAATTATGAAGCAAAGGGCTTAAGGTATAGCTTGCTTTGTTTCCATCCTGGGCTGTCTTACTATTCATTCATTTTTTATTCCATTTAAAGTTACATTTAACCAGTAAGGGTTTTTTAAACCAACCATCTAGTGACCAGGATAAATGATTCTTGCTCAATTTTTAATTCAGTATGGCATGAGAGGGAGGATAACTGGGCTGGAGTTTAGTGAATTTAGGTTGTAGTTTTGCTACTTGGGTAAGTCTTAAAAGAAGCTTTTTGTGCAATTCTTGGGTTTAATCCTCGTTTAGTGACTGCTTTGTTTAGCAACCGTTTGCAGTCGCTAAACGAGGATTAAACCCAAGAATTGCCCAAGTAACTTTGTGACTAGTCCTTGCATTTACAACCTTTGTACAGCAAAGGAAAGCTGAAGTCAGATCGTAAGCACAGTTATGGTTTCACTTAGCAACCACTTTGCTTAATGACCCAGTTGCTGAACCCAACTGTGGTTGCTAAATGAGGACTACCTCTAATATGTAGTCATCCTTGAGTCACCAGAATGCTGTATCGGCATGAAATTTGCTGCCACCATTGTTGGTCCATTTACTGCCTCTTTTGACTCACCCCTCTTGGTGAGTCATAGGTGATAAAGCCAACAGATATGGCATTTTGAGGCCACCTTGAATAGTGCTGGAATAAGGGGAAATATTACTTTAACACGACTACAGCTAAGGACAATTTAAGGCTGTCTCATGGGCTGGGGACAAGAAAAAGGCAACTGATGGGACAGAAAAGAGTTGTTGTTAGGGGATGTTGTGCTGTGGTGAGTTGCACATGGGGGCCTGGCCACTGATTTGAAAGGCAGAAGTTTCTCCATTTTGAGTTGGAGAAATCTAGAGTTGCTTGCCATGAGAGACTGGCTGACCCAATCAGATTGCTAGAATATTCTATTACAGATCACGGTTTGCAATCTGTACAGATATTTGTTTCAAAGGCATTGCGGGTTTCTTGCGCTCTTTCACGAGAAGGAAAATAAGGCCGTTTTAGGCTGGCTATTCCTGTTTTAACTGCAGCTCTCTGGCAAAACGTCTTTTGCAGCTCTTCCACAAGTTGATGCTTGGAAAGATCGCTCCGAAGAGACTAGTTCAAATGAGCTCCTTAGAAATGGCCCCCAAGGAACTAGCAGAATGGAGAGCCAAGAAGAATAAGCACGTAAGTTGAGCCCCTGGACTTTTCAGCTCAGTTGGCATATTTGGAAGTGGAAGAATTTGCTGCGGGTGTCCAATTCTCACATTAAAATTGGCAGCCAGTATTAAGTATGCTGTAGGGCAGTGTTTCTCAACCTCAGTAACTTTAAGATGTGTGGATGTGAAGTCCCAGAAGTCCCCAGCCAGCATGCTGGCTGGGGACTTCTGGGACTTCAAGTCCACACAACTTAAAGTTGCTCAGGTTGGGAAACACTAGGTTAAAGAGTAGAAATTAGACAACGAGGATATAAGACAGATCTGGCTAGGGAATTCTGGGAGTCGCAGTCCACACATCTTAAATCTGCCAAGGCTGAGAAACACTGCTGTAGGCAATATATTTAGTGAAACCTTTCTGCATCTTTCTGTTTCACCCCAGACTGAGTCTGCTGTGCTGGGGAATTCTAGGAGTTGAAGTCCACATATCTTAAAGTTGCTAAGGTTGAGAAACATTGGATTAGATTTATGTCCCACTTTTTGTACGGGAGCTCAAGGCTCCCTCCTTCCATCTGCCCCCAGAACTGTAAGCTGACAGGTGCAGTTTGGCTGTGAGAGCGCAACTGGTCCAAAGTCTCCCTGGAGCTTCTGCGGCCAAGCGGAGATTCTCCCTACTCTCTGGTCTCCCACACCTTAACCACTGTACCCTGGCTGTGGGTTTATCTTTGCGAAAAGGAGCACTTCAAAACAATCTACAGGGCTGCAACCACGTTTGATTTAAAAAAAATTTTTTTTTTCTAGGAATGCAGCATTCTTATAATTAATAAATGTGATATTGGAGGTTGGATCTGCTTAAAACTTTAGAAAGAGTTGAGCAGGGAGCAGGAAGGAAGCCATCCTTGACCATCAGGTTGTAGACCCCAGATTTAAGTTTTTCTTTCATATGCATGATGAGCTGATGTGAAGCAGTTGCATTTGCAACTTGGCCATTTATCATTCATTCATTCATTCATTCATTCATTCATTCATTCATTCATTCATTCATTCATTCATTTATAACCCTTATATAGCCACCATCTTAAAAACAACTCAGGGTGTCTTCCAACCAATAAAACAATATAAAACAATATAAAACTAACTAATAAAACCCAAAACACCTGGTGCCACAGTCATGCTTCTCTGATGCACCCACATTCTTGTCCCACCCTGACCTCACCCTGTCCCAATGCCTGGGGGAAGAACCAGGTTTTAAGTGTTCTCTGGAAAGGTAGAAGGGTGAAGGCCTGTCGGATCTCAGGTGGGGGGGAGTTCCATGTGGCAGGAGCTGCAACGGAAAAGGCATGCTTCCAAGGACCCACAAGATGGTAATGTTTAAGGGAAGGGACCCGGAGCATGCCCACCTTATCCACTCTGGATTGTTGCACATTTGTTCCAGGACTGTAGTTTCCTTTCTGAAATAAGCTTGCTGACTAGGAGCGAATAGCTTCTCATTAGAAACCCAGCAGTGTGGAAATCTCAAATCCCAAACAAATGTTGGTCTTCACATTCTCTGAAGCCTTTTCAAGTGTTTCTTTCTTACATCTTTTTAAGGATTGGTATATTGGTGCTATTTCCATTTTTAAGTAGTGAATCTATGGCGCGGATCCATGGCTCATAAACCGAACCGGTCTTATTTCCCCCTACGTGAAAAAGATCATGTTGGTAAGCACCTGTTCACCACACCCGCCTGTTCCATTGCAGATGTCCATCTTTGAATGTAATGTGTGAAGTGGCCCTCCTGTTTGGAGTCACGTCTCTATCGTTGTGTTGCTTACAGCTACTGGAGATGATAGAGAAGGAGGAGCGAGAAGTGCCAAGGCGTTGCTCTGAAAAATTCACCCACAAAGGAATTGTGGAGATATACAGAGAAGCAGACATGGATTTGGTATCTGAAGAATTAATTGTGAGTGGAGTATAGTGTTCAGGCATGAGCAACCAGCTGAACCTTGCTGCAGGAAATTCACTTACGTTTGAAGAAAAATATATCAACGGATCCCCTATTTCAGTGTTTCTCAACCTTGGCCGCTTGAAGATGTGTGGACTCCAACTCCCAGAATTCCCCAGCCAGCCA